TCTAAATATGCAGTATAGGAAGGGGGATCTTAACACCTATAGCACTTGTATAGCATCTGAAAATTACAATGCTTTTCTTTTTCCCATCATCATGTCATATCATCTTTTGTTCCAGCATGGCCAGATCTACAGACCTGATGTCTTTTCTCAATTACATGCAGTGGTCTGAGAAACATCCAGGCAGTCCCCAGTCTGACTGTATCCGCTAACACTGGAGAACTGTGGGGAAGATCTCAAGACAGTCCTCCTGCTTCCTTTGAGGCTGTTGTCCATCAGTGAAGGCTATGCAGTAGTCGATTATGCATTGTGTCTGTAAAGTGATTTAAAGGTGTAAGTGTAGATACTCATTTCCCTCAGATCTTAAAATCTATTAATGATTGCATCCAAAATAAAGAATTGGTTTTATTCCTGCCAGATTGCTGTGTCCTGGAGGAGTGCAGGACTTCACTGTTCTTTTTTCCTTAAAATGAAACGTAAAACTGTGTAGAATCTACTAAATGTCTTAGTGTAGAAAAAAAAATAGCCTGGACAATTCATAGGTAAGTTTATAAAACAAGGAATTGCCAAGTGAGAAGTTGAAGTTTCATGCAAGATGGATGGTGGCGGATGTGGCAAATTACAATTTCTTCATGGGGTATGTTGGTGACCACGCAGATCACCTACATGTAGCTCTGCTTTCTCTGTTATCTTTGTTTATGGCAAAGCCATGCTCAATAAGGTATGACAACCTAAGTGGATTTCCTAGATGAACCTTGTGCTGAAAGCCACGTATTTTCCCAATTCTGTTATACATAAACTGATATTTAAAAGCCTGGTAACTGTCATGGCCAGTGAAAGTTGGAAATATTTCCTGTGAAGCTGGGACATTATGTGAGTCTCAGTTTTCAGCCCCACTGTCCTAGCTGGAGTCAGAAAAAATGAACAAATTATTGCCAGGTAAAATGATAAAATAACGAGGACCTTGAATGTCCCTCTACACTGCTGCCTTCCCCACCCAGGTGTTTCTAGTTCTTGTATCTGAAGCCTCAGATATGTTTAAATTATAGGTTTGGGGCTGATTTTCGCAGCCCTTACGGTTGCTTTAAACAGGGCTCAGTGAGAGGCCTTCCCTGCCTACATGCAACCCTTGCAGGCTGCTCTTGCTGGGTCCATGCTTGCAGGACAGGGGCAGGGCTCAGGCGCTGCGTTGTGGCCTCCCAGTAGTAGCCTGGGGAACGAAGGGATGGGAAGATGTGCCAGCCACCTTCCTCTCCGCCACTGTGTTATCTGAGCTGTATGGCAGGCCCAGGTGTTGTCCGAGAGACTTGCTGAGAGATGGAAAAAACCCATGGAGTGAAACAGCGCGTGCAGCTAGGTGACAGTAAGTTGTTGTGGTGTCCTGACCTCAAGTGGTTGTCCTTTTGAAGGACGCCGTTCCTCGAGTCCATAGGTTTTTAAACATCTAGGCATAATTTGGCTTTCTTGTGACAAAACCGCAAGCTTGTTCACCCCCTGCCAGCTGCGGCACTGTGGGATGTTTCCCCTCGCTGGGTAGCTCATCGTGCCATTGCTGCTGCAGCACAGTCACCTAGGTCTGCTGGCAAGTGGGAACCGTCTCACCCCTGCCGGGCAGCGAGCTCAGGCAGCAGAGACCTGCTAGTTAAACTGTTTAAGCTAACCTAGCTCACCTGGGTGGAAACAGCCCAAGAAGCTCTCCTGTGAGCAGGCTGGGTAACATCCATGAGGAAAGGAGCCAGGGAGGATGGAGGGAGCACCAGGGAGCCCTGACCTTCTGAATTTACCTGCTGTGGGCAGAGGGCATGGTGGGAACTGCATGCATGCCTCTGCGAGCCGATTTGGGGGTTTAAAGCTCTAATGGCTGAATAATGGAGCCAAGCTTGTGCTGAGTGTTGCATTTCCGATGAGGCACTTGAATGAAACAGGTGGGTAAATATTACCTGGAGGAGAGGCTGGGCTATGCTTAGGAGGCCACCTCTTGCATTCTTGGGCATGTATGGTAGTTGCATTGCAAGGTATATGTTACTTAGAAACTTATTCTCACCACCTACTAATTTGAAAAAGACATTTGATTCACTGAACGGGAAGGCAGTGTAAAAAATGGCATGCATAGTCATATGTAATTTATTAGTAGATATTGCATTTGAAGAAATACATTTATGGCACAGTCAAAGTGAAAGTCCCCAAACTTACCCTTTTTTGTTCTTAACAATTTGATAGGTAGTTTTTACAAATGTATGTTTTTAAAGGACACTGTTATGTGAATAAGTTCCCTTTACTGTAATGAAAATAAACAACAATCTTTTTCCTTTTCTTACTTTTTGCCTGTTGCTGACCTTCTCTGTGAGTGTGCATGCTTGTTTACAAAGCTTGTTTTAGCTCTAGTCCCTCCTGTCTTCCCTCTTCGAAGGTGGCAGCATTGGCTATGTTACTGGTTATATAAATGTGGTTTCTTGACCTGGAACAGAATTGCCAAGCTGTTATGGAAGTGGTGGAAGGGCCCCTCCCCAGCACCTTAATGGGCTCTGAAAACGCAGAGGCAGGACTTCAAACCATAACATAACGCTTATGGAAACTTCTCCCCAGTCTTGCTGAATAATGTTAAATGCTCTTGCAAGAATGTGATTCTGCCTTAACTGTAGAATCAGACTACATTTCTTTCAGTTTGAGAACTTGTGAATGTCTGGGAACTGGGGGGAAAAAAACTAAATTGGGAAAAACTTGAAGTATTTTTCCCCTCCATCATAGATGTTTTCCTACTTACTTTCATCTTTCTGTGTACGTTTTAAAATTACCAATTAGTTTTGTTTTAGTTGATTGTTTATTATTCAGATGCTACTAGAAAAAAAATCAGGACTTTTCAAGCCGGTAAGTGAACAGAGAGTCTGTTTGCCTGTGATTAAACTGAGTTTGGCTGATGAACAGTCAGTGTGCTTTGCAGAATGGTTGGAGTCGCTGCATCCTTGATCTGAGAAAACTGTAGATGATGGCCAAGGGCAGCGTGCCAGCAGGTCTTCAAACTGCAGTGCATGGATCCTTTTTGCTGCCTCTCGGCAGTCCCGTTTAGGACAAAGGCCCCGCTCTCAGGAGCCCCCGAGCTGTCCCACTGGCCCGGGAAGTGCCACTGGAGGGCAGCATTTTCCCATGCAACTCTGCACAGGCGGAGGAGAAAATCATTAGGGAAAAATGGGTTAGAAAAATGAGCGGGGAAGAAAGAAGAAACCATGGTGGTGGTTGCCACTTTGAAGACCAGCATGCATCTTTACTTCAGCGTGACTTATGCAAATTCTCTGTGCAGCATTTGCCTCTGCTTTTTTAAGTCCCTTTCAGGTAGGTTATGTAAATTGAAATGAAGAAATCAAAGGTAGGGTCTGAATTTTTTTTCAATGCCTTTCTAGTTAGAGATCTATTCTAAAGTTGCAGGCTGACTTGTGTCTTTGAGAAGATGAGGAGTGTTTGTGGTTTTGCTAAAGTTCTGTTTCTTTACTGTTACAACCAGGACTTTTTTGGCTGTTTTGGCAGCTAGCTCAGAAAGCACCTACTGACTATTGACTTTCTTGCCTTGTGGTTTGCTCAGGCATTTGTATGCACAAACCTTAAAACAAGCACTTTAATTCATTTTCATCAGCTGCTGGAAATACCTTTCTAATGACATGATGCCTTCTTTCCTGCTCTTGGCAAGTACAGCTCACTCCCCTCAGCCCTCATCTCTCTGCCCTTTGGGAACAAACACCTCCAACATGTCCTGCTTCCAGCATCCCCTCAGGTGTATGGCAGGGTGTTAACGAAGCTGCCTTAGGCCCCCTGACTTAGGATATTCGGGACGTGGTCTGTGAAACTAATTTCTCTATGATTAGTTCCTGGTTTGCATTTCAAGACTAACTGAACTGTTCGGTCTCAGCACGTAAGGCAACGAAATAGCACTGAAGCTGGGCTTCATCTGTCTTTCCTGGAAGTGTCCTACCTGAAAACGGGGTGTGAGTTTGAAGACGGCACACAAAATAGGAGAGCGTTCAAGTTAGTAAGCTTGACAAAAGATCAGCAAAATAGATCTTCGTAAACTCTGTGATGTGATATTTCACTGAAGATTTACGGAGATAATCCTGTGCAATTGACTGTCAGTTAGGAGTAGAACTGATTAGCTAAGTTGTGTGCATATATGTATATCTAAAAAATAATGGGTTGGCTGATGTGCACTGACCCAGATAATGGCAAAATAAGTAGCCTCGGAAGGAGTTAGCAAAATCTCATGCTTCAGAGGTGTTTTTCCTTGTTCTGACTGCATCTCCTTGTACTTAGGAAGATATAATTTGGTCTAGCCCAGCAGCCAAAGAATGGCAACATTCAGCCTGATCAGCTCTGCTGGCAAGGATACAAAGTGGAAATAGCCGTTGCTGATCGAGGATAAATATTTCAGAATATATGGTGGCCTTTAGTTAACCAAAGTTAACTCATTCATGCATGCTTAAACAACGCTCTCTTGCTTTCCTTTGGAGAGCTGTAGCTCATGGTGTATTTCAGTATTACAGAAAAATGTTTTATACTGAATTTAATGCCTGTTGTTGCGTTTTCTTGTTTTGTGTCCCCTCTGTGCTTCCCACCACCACCTTCCAATGCTTGAAAATATTCAGTGTTAAACAGGGTGGTTTCATTTGAGAAAGTTTAGTGGCTTGGAGGGATGACTCTGTTTTGCCCTTCATGGGGAATGAGAAGGTCACAGCGTGGAGATAAACTTTGCCTCTGTGTAGCAATTTTGGTTTGATTTTATTCATTCTTCTCTGTTCTTGTAAGTTAGCTTTGCCTAACCAGTCTCTGATACCATGCGTGTACACAGCTGATAGGTGTCTGCCAAACATTCATTCCTTCATCATCTCAAAAACACTCTATTGCTTCATAATGAATATCTGTCTTAATATTTAACAAAGTTCTGCAAATATTGCTGGATTCCAGATTATACTACTCTGTCTGGTTTGGAGACCATTGCTAGTATTACTGCTAAGCATTCAAGACTGCAAACTTACATGTCTCAAGCTCCTTTTATTTTCTCCTTTGATCGTCTGTCATATACTTGGTCTTGTTACTTCTCCTGCTCTGCCTGCCTTCCCTCTGAGGATATATATGCTGAACGGACCAGAAGTTATCTGCTCCTGGCATTATCTAGCAAACTACTGAATCACAAATTGTGGGGAGAGAGCTGCAACGCGTCTCTTACTCGATCATTAGGATGAAAAGAGAAATGGGTAACACAAAGATGCAGTTCCCTACTTGAAAAGGAAGGAGACTGGCAGTGCATTTCAGGCCTTTTAAAGGTAAAGAGCAGCCCAGAATTGTTTTTAATAGAAATGTCACTCGGGAAAAGAGAAGCCTTTGAATGATGTGTCTGTTCTGTTGTTCAACAACAATATAGAGAACTGGGTGACACTATCGGTGGCCATAAATTCTTTAAACACTGCTGGTCAAATAAATGTCTTTTATAAGGGTGCTCGTGTGCCATGATAGGCACAGGCTGTTGCAGGGCTTGACTTGTCTTCTTAGAGATCAAGCAACTGATTTCTGAAGAAAGCAAACCGAAGCTGACAAATCTCCGGCATTAAGGCAGCTCATGTCCTTGGCTGTCGTACCCTCAGAGCACAGTGGGCTGGTACAGGGAGAATTAATGATGTTTTGGCTGGGCCATTTATAGAAGTGTGGTTTGTGGTGAAAATAAAACACTGAAGAAGCTGTAAGAAATGTAAAAGTGTGGAGTTAAAAACAGCTGCTGCTGTCTATGTAGTGAAAAAACAGTCTGTGAGAAAAAGGAAGGAAAAGATATGGATCCATTTTTATCTTAAAGATTGCTGTTGAGGTTCAGTGATCAGAATTAAAAATTAGTATATCAGATATTTTTGAAGGAAAATAAATTGTGCTCCATATAAATACATAGCTCATTATTAACTCCTATCAGGTACAATACGTTGCAGAGCAGATAAATGTGTTCACAGTTGGGTAAAGACTCCTTCCCCCTTCCTCCTCTTCCTCCTTTGTGTTAGTGAGGCGTATGTAGCTGCTTAGCTTGCGATGCTATGCAGGCGAACTTTAAGCACAGAAAGCAAGCTGTGTCCAAAAAAAGTCTGTAAACTTTGATCATAGCGACATAGCTTCAGGTCTCTAAGATAGCTAATGCCTTTCCCTGAAAGGAGAGTCAGAACATACAGTCAATACTGTCTAGACGTTTTACATTAAGCAGGAGTGTGATATGATTAACTTTTTTGAAGCGGGACTTTTTCCCTGTTAAGGTGACCTGCTTTCCACCCAGTGATTTATACAATACAACTGGTGTGTATTTATTGGTATGACTGCTCTCTACTGGAGAGAACTAGAATTGTTCAGCTTGGTGTAAGGTTCGTAGCTTGTGACGAATGAAATCGCTTCTGGTTCAGGGTGATGGTGGGTTTGGAGCAGGAGAAAATCGGGTCCACCCACCACGCAAATGGGAAGTTCTGGGTAGTCTCAGAGGACCCTGGCCAATAAGTCTTAGGCAGGGTGAGATTTATGGCAGTAGGTACTGTATAATTGTGACCCTGCTTTGTTAGCAAGGTGGTCATGCATGTGGTGATATCCCCTCTCCTAATGCACTGTGGGAGGTGAGGTAGCCCCCTTTTTTTATCCGAATGGCATTTGAGCTGCGTTGTGTGTGGTGGTGCTGAGGCAGAGACTGCTCGCACAGGTGTGGTGTGGCGCTTGGGTATGTCTGTTGGGAATGGAAGGACTGCTCCTATGCTCGTTTGCTGCCTCCCGCTTGGGCCTTTGCTAGAGCCCTTGCATTGATAAAGTACTTGCATTTGTTTTATCTGTACCTGCGCCCTTTGCGTTTTGCTTTTCTCAGTTATGTGCAAGATAGAAGCAGAAGTGGCAAGTATTTTTAAACAGTAGAAAAATATTAATTAACAGCAAACGTATCCAATATAACCATGATCTTACTGCTCGCTTGTTTCTCTGCTTTTTACATCTACATATTTAATTGTCTGAACCTAAGCGTGTATTGCTTATAAAGATTTTTTGGAGTAGAGACGCTGTTTACAGCTCTTGAACACATCTCCACTCCCGTCTTAATAGATAGTTACGCTAGCACAGACCTTGTGACTAGGAATCACATCATTGTTAGCAGAATAAAAACATGAAATATGAAGCCTGAGGAGGAAGGCAATGGCATAGAATTTACAACTTGCTTCCCCTCCTTTCCATCGCTAAAAAAACCCCTAAACAAACAAACAAACAAAAACCCACACATGATTTTTATGGGGCCTGACTCATGACTTTGACGGAGCAAAGTCAATGACAATGGAGAAGGGAGGAGCTTTTCTCACATCATCCGCATCCCCGGAGTCCAGGTGCCCTTGTCTACCAAAGACGCCGCTTTCCCCTTGCGGCCACCTTGAGCTCAGTTCCAGAGCCTGGCTGTGCCTGGAAGCATTCACCGTGGTGCAGGGAGATGATGCCTTGTATTCCTGCTCTTTTTGCTAGATGGTGCTCTTTGCATCCAGCACATGCTTTCCAGCTTTTTTGAAAGCACAGAGTCAGTCAGAGTATAAGGACCAAGGTGACAGCTGACCTCGGCGCTTGTGTGCAAAGGCAAAGAGGTCTTTGCAGTCCCTTTGCAGCACAGCTGTAGTCTGTGCCTGAGAATAAATTAATAAATACACAGATGTAGTAATAGGCACAAATTCTGTGACTGACTTTCAACCTCTGTTTGCAGCCACGACCAAGCCCTGTAATGGTTGTTTTTCCTAACTCTCTCGGCCTCTCTCCTTCACTCCCCTTGCGCAAAGGGAAGGGAGGAGATTGGAGGTTGCTAAAAAAGGTTTAGTGGAGGGGAATGTGCCTGTGGCCAGGGTCTGGGCAGAGACTACAATTGTAGGCCGCTCCTTGTACGGCTCTCACTTGTGCAGAGATGCAGCAGCCAGCCACCGTGAGGCTCTTCAGAAGCTGTCTTAGAGGTAATGGTACCTGATGAAATATCTTTTAGCCTCGGTTGGACTCATAAGCCTGCAATAGCTGTCGATGACTAGTGAGAGATAAATTACACATATTTCCAGTGCTATCCTTTATAACAATTATGTCTTAACAGTGGGAAGAAAGGGGATAGTTAAAAGTAGGTTTAATCCCGAAGGGATGGTTTATTCCTTTAACTACTGCCGTTGCCAGTAGCTCTGCCGTTTTCCCTCATTCTTCCTCCCTCCCTCTACCCCTCTCCTCCCCCTCTTCTTTTCCCTCGACAAAGTTACCTTTGCGGTCATGGCTGTTTGTGGCAAGGATTAATGGGTTATTGGAATTTGCACATCTTACAGGAGTGTGGCACATATTCTTACGAATTTTATTGGAATGCACCAGAGTATATAATTTCATTAAGCTGCACATATCATGCTTATTTGCTGTTACTCCCTAGACCTCTGTATGCAATTTTATCATTCTCAAATGGCAATAAAAAAAAAAAAAAAAAAAATGGAATAATGTCTAAATAAATGCAGAGGGTCAGGGGACTCTGTACAATGACTACACCAACAAATTTATTGCCTCATTTATGTGTGAGTGGGGGAAGGGAGCAGTTTCTTCACTGTATTTTAATTAACTGTGTTTCACTGCATGGTGGTAAAGATAATAACCATAACATTAGTGCAACTACTACGCTATCAAATGCTTGTCACAGTCCAATATTCTCCAACAATACAGCTTCACAATGGAGACATGCGCAACAAAAGAGCAGCTTGTTTTATTAATTTACCAGGGCTCTGCGTTTTTTGGAAGGCCAGTATGTATTTCTGGGAGACTGATTAGAATAGAAAGAAATATACATGGTAGAGAATAATATTTTTACTGGTGTGGGATTCATTTAACAAAAGTGTTCCTTCAGGAAAACAGAATCAAGATGCTAATGTTATACCTCATTTATTGCCAGCATATTCAGTGACATTTCATAATGTACATCTGTCAGCCAGAGATATAAATGAATGAGGTGAACCATGCAATTTACCCTCAGGAAGTTCCATTAGAGCCCCCAAAGTATAATATTTATGAGGTCAGAATCAATTAATCAGATAGCTGTATTTGCTTTTCAGCTCAGCATGCTCTTCTGCACCAAGCTGTTGCATTGAGAAAGCCTTTCGTATTTGGTAAGAGGAGTCAGTTTGTATGTACTGCATGAAGTCTGTTTTGTAAATCAGTTGCTATCCTAACACAGCTTATACTGAGTACTAATGCAAGCTATAAGTTAAGGGAATGCAAAATAAACCTCTATCAAAACACATATCAGAATAGAAGTCTTCTGTATCTCCTAGTCATTGCTGCTGCCTAGCCCCATCCAAATCTCTTGAATATGAGAAAACAACCTGGGAGAAAACGGTGCAGCTCAACCAAAAATAATTCCAGTAAATGGAAAATCTCGTGGGGAAGGGGAAGACCGTGGAGGGAAAGTTGAGAACTATTGATCTAATCAAAGGACCACCTCAACCTTATGAAGAAAAGCCACAGAAAGAGATCTGTTACTAAAATGCTTTTTCTTCACGTCTTGAGATCTGTTACTAAAATGCTTTTTCTTTGCAAATACGTTCTGAATGCTCATTACTTGTTTCCTTCTGCTGTGTTTGATTGATAGGTTGTTTGCATGTGTGAGAATGTGTGGTATTATTTTTGTTTTAATTTGCAGTTGTTTCATGGGCTTTTTTCAGATGTCTTACAAACCACTCCTGACACTCTGACCGCAGATGAAGAAGCAGATTCTTGATTCTGCTGCTAAGTTAAATTTATATAGGGCTTGGTTCCTGGGAAGTGCAGACCACAGTGCAGATTAGCTGAAATGCACAGATAGATTTTTTTTTTTTCTTCTTTTTTCATAGTGTATTCGTTACCATACTACCTGTCAGAATTCAAGCTGGTCACTGTATGACGTGTGGATTCTTGGTTCCTAAGAAATGGAAAATGTTTCTTCTGAAGAGATTTTCAAAAATTTAAATGTATTTTAGATCTAGGAAGGTTTCACTGTGCATACAAAATGAATATTGATCATTGAGGGTTTTTTTTTTCCTGAGACAACAGGTGTAAAAGATAAATTTTGGTTCTGAAGCCTGTGTCAATATGTTTGCAGTTGTCATAACTGATGCCAAGATGTGAGATAGCATTCCTTAGATTCTTTGAAAAAGAGTTTTTTTTTTTTAAAAAAAAGATTCAAAAATTACCTGTTACCTGTAAGATTACATTTTTCTTCCAAGAACATTTCTTGAGAATGGAATTAAAAACAGGAAGAGCATACCTGAAATCACCGATAGAATAATTT